TGTTCAAAAGTTTACACCCCCCTGGCTCTTAATGCATTGGGCTGCCTTCTTGAGCATCAGTACATGTTTTCACCTTTTGTAATAGTTCTGTATGAGTACCTCAGTTGTCCTCATTGTGAAAATATGGATCTCAAAATCATACAGTCACTGTTGGAAAGGGTTCAAATATGCAGAAGATGCTGGAAAACCAAAGAATGTGCAGGAGCTGGGGGGGGTTTTCTGAAGAACAGCAGGCTATTGAACTGCTCAGGACCAACGAGGGACTCATGAACAACTATCGCAAAACATAAAAACAGTCGTGGATCATCCAGGAAACGACACACAGTATTAAGATGTAAACTTTTGAACAGGGTCATTTTTTTATGAATTCAGTTATTATTTTGTCTTGTGGAGAATATATAAACATCTGTTATGTGAAATAGCTTATTCAGGACAGTATTAAATAAACAATAACATGCAATTTTCATGATCCCTCTTATTTTGTTAAAATTATTAAGATTTTGCATATTCTGCAAGGGGTATGTAATTTTATGAGCACAACTGTATATATGAATATCCAGTGTTTGCATAAATGCACAATTCCAATTAACACCGACATATGCCAGCTATTAAAGTCTGCTTTCTTGAAACAAAAATATAGTTTTAACCAGGTAATATTAATCAAGTCAATGCATGTAAATATGATCAATACAACAGTTGCATCTGAAGTTGACTGTACTTCAACTAATACACATGAATGGACATTCAGCTCATGTTCGGCTTGAACACAAACTCATGTCAGAAACACCACAGGATTTTTGGCTATGAGAACAGAACTTCATTATTCAGGCTGAAGCCCAACAGAAGGGTTTTACAGTCAAAATAACAGCAAAAAATGACTGAAAATATATCTAATATACTCTGGTTAAATTGTGCATTAAATGTGTGTTTTCCTCTAACATGCACACACATTTAGTGCTTGGCCTGAAATGAATGATCATAGAGACAATCCATAAAAATGAGATTTGAAGCACAAATGACCAGAAACGCCATCAGATGATCAAAAAACGTAGGAACGTTGCTTTCATGCAATAGTTCACAGAATACTTGATTGTGATTGGTCAGTGGTGTCCTTCCATACTCAAATACTTCTGTATAATGATGCTAAACTGTATAATTGACTGTCGTCCCATTTACATTTTAAACAATTTCTTTGCAAAACATTTTTCTGCACATAAGTACGAGTTAGTGTGTTTACATCATGTCGAGAAGACGCTGTGAGAGCAAGTTTGTTTTGTTTTCATTGCCGATAGATGATGATGTGAGGAATCAGTGGTTAAAATAAATTTTTTCACAATACCACAGCAATACAATGCGAACCTTTTGTTGTGCGCTCGTCATTTTACCGAGGAATTTTAAATATTCGTCGAGTTTAAAATAAAAATCCACATTCGAATGCAAAAACGTTGCATTCGAATTTTAGGTGTGCGTCAGACAGTCTTATCAGCGGCGCACGAGACGCGATGACGATGTAAGTGTCGTTGCATTATAATGTTTTTTAGCCTATCCAGTTGAAGCCACTAGATGCAGCGCTGCTGCGTTGCTCATTAAAAATACTGCGGGAAAAGAGAACATCAGTGCGGAGAAGATCTTGTTTACGTCAAAATTAAAACCAAGCCGTTCACACAGAACGCATATTTTGTGCATTTTCTAGAGGGACATCTATCACTTTTGCACTCGCGTCTCGCACAAAAGAGCCGCATATTTAGAAAGCCATGCAAAATTAATGCATGTTCAACTTTGAATAAACATATCTCGAGACTTATGGCGGGGGTTTTTCCCACCCCACTGCAACTCGTGTTTTTAAATGAAAAATGTATTCTGTGTGATTGGCTTTCGGTCCTTTGTATTAAACTATGCATACAAACATGATGCTGTTTTGTTTATAGTTGTTTAAGCAACTTAATTAATTATAATTGGTTTATAAACATTATTTTAAACATTATGCACTTTTTTTCCACAGATAGTCATGTTATCTTATTAATAAACGTGCATTAGTAATATTTTGCTCGATGCACCCTCTTGTGGCCTCAGGAGAGAAGCCAAAAGCTGTTCTTTACCCTAACTGAAATTATGCATTTTAAATTCGAATTTTTATCATATTTAAGTACAAAATTCGAATTTAGTTTTTCAGCCATTTTGACTGCTTTTCTAATCTTCGTTGGCTTCTAATCTTCTTTATTTGGACCAACAAGCGTCTCCGAAGCACAACCTGTAAGTAAGATTCATACGTTATGTGTACATTTTCAATCGAGTGCTCAAAATATCAAGTTTTTTGTGCTAATATGTGATGTATACATAGTGCAGCTTTAGGTTTCCAGGTAAACCACGATATTACTGTCTTACTGAAATAGTTCTGATAATTAGGGTTGCAAAAAGGTGGAAAATTTCCAGTAAATTTCGGAAATATTCCAGAAATTTTGAAAACTTTCCAGGATTTTTTTGGAACATTCCAGGGATTTTTTGGAACGTTTCCGGAAATTTACCGGAAATTTTCCACCCCTTTGCAACCCTACTGATAATTCACTGTGAACCCACTATTTCCTAAAGAATGTGTCGATTAATGTAGACTGTCTTTCTAATTACTTTGTTTAATAACAAAGAATGTAGACATATTTTGGTTTACAAACTGTATTGTTTCATCAGTTATCACTCGGCTAACGTATTCACCATTATTGTTTTGCGACGTGTTTACAGTTTAGCAGCTAAACTTTAGCTGTGGGCACGATTCGCTTGCATGAGTGTTAAATCAAATGTTTTTAAGTCTGCACGTTGCATATATCTGCACACAGCTGTATTACAGTTTCTATATGCAACTGTACTCCTAAAATGTCTGTATTAAGTTATACTGTATAAATAGTACATGAAATGAACTAAAAGCTACAACAATCCAATTCTGAATTCATGGGGTGTTTGATGTGAACAAGAGGATTTTGCGCAGTTTGACCTCGTACAGTAGGAGTTGTTCAACATGCATTAGAGCACAATAACACAGTCAGACGCCTCGCAACCCATCGCTACATCGATCCGGCAGTGCTTTAATTAAACACAATGACTTGCCGATTGATACGTTATGTGTACATTTTCAATTGAGTGCTCAAAATATCAATTTTTTGTGCTAATATGTGATGTATACATAGTGCAGCTTTAGGTTTCCAGGTAAACCACGATATTACTGTCTTACTGAAATAGTTCTGATAATTAGGGTTGCAAAAAGGTGGAAAATTTCCAGTAAATTTCGGAAATATTCCAGAAATTTTGAAAACTTTCCAGGATTTTTTTGGAACATTCCAGGGATTTTTTGGAACGTTTCCGGAAATTTACCGGAAATTTTCCACCCCTTTGCAACCCTACTGATAATTCACTGTGAACCCACTATTTCCTAAAGAATGTGTCGATTAATGTAGACTGTCTTTCTAATTACTTTGTTTAATAACAAAGAATGTAGACATATTTTGGTTTACAAACTGTATTGTTTCATCAGTTATCACTCGGCTAACGTATTCACCATTATTGTTTTGCGACGTGTTTACAGTTTAGCAGCTAAACTTTAGCTGTGGGCACGATTCGCTTGCATGAGTGTTAAATCAAATGTTTTTAAGTCTGCACGTTGCATATATCTGCACACAGCTGTATTACAGTTTCTATATGCAACTGTACTCCTAAAATGTCTGTATTAAGTTATACTGTATAAATAGTACATGAAATGAACTAAAAGCTACAACAATCCAATTCTGAATTCATGGGGTGTTTGATGTGAACAAGAGGATTTTGCGCAGTTTGACCTCGTACAGTAGGAGTTGTTCAACATGCATTAGAGCACAATAACACAGTCAGACGCCTCGCAACCCATCGCTACATCGATCCGGCAGTGCTTTAATTAAACACAATGACTTGCATATTTAATGGGCGCTGCTATTATTCTCCTACAGTCCATCTGCATTTGAGAGAAGAATGCAAACAAAAGTCACACGACATCAAAACCGACTCTATTTACTTTCTAATTCATGTTCCTGGCACAATAACCTGATTAACAGTTTCAAAATCTACCAGCCAACGATTAACATACATTTTGGTTCATTTGAGTCAAAAATCAGCCTTATTAGTCCACTAAAAACACTATGAGCCAATAACAACTTGACCACAGACACAAAAACAATGCCTACGACTATTAATTTTGCATTATTAATTAATGTAATTGCATACTATTAAGTGTAATAAGCGTGCTCTCTGCCTGTCCTTCGTTAAATCGGGTGTCCCTCGTCTCAGTCATTAGTCACTGATCTCCAGGGAATCTCCTGCAATTCATCACATTAATGACAAAACAGCATCACATCATGTTGCCGTAGTAACCAAGACACACACAAACACACACACACACACACACACACACACAGAGATTCCATTCCAATCCACATGGATTTACCAGAATAAAACCACTGGAATGCAACATCATCTAATCTTTAATAAATGCAAAGAAATAAAGCAATTGTGACCGGCCTAACAACCATTTAACTTAGTTGACAAATTTTTTGGTCAAACTGAGCAGATAAATGAGAAAAATTACATATCCTGATGAAGACAGACGACAGACAGACAGGTAGATAGACAGACAGACAGACAGACAGACAGATAGATTGTGGCTAATAGGTTTGGGTCTGGGGTCAGGACAGGTGAAGGATGCTCTAGAGGCCCACATCAGGACCGCTCCACAGATGCCTGTCTCCATCACAACATCACTACATCACTAAACCCAAGAACAGCATCAGATCTACTCAAACACATAGACCAAACAACACCTCACGCTAACAGCCCGAGTCTATCATTTCCATTCTAAACGTCACGTTTTTACATTTGCATATGTGAATAAATAAGGTAAAGCTGATCATATATTCACGACACGTCGACTGATCGCCGTTTGCGCCGTTATTCGTCCGTCATCAGCAGCGAAGGTGTTTTACCTGCCCACGGTCTGGTTGGCCAGTTGTCGCATTCGGTTGAATTGCTTCTTCATCTTCCTGCAATTTGCGCGTGAATCCCGATGGAAGAAACACCAGCTGACATTCCTCACTTAAAGAACACCCGTCAGGAAATATTCCACGGCTCGGGCCATAACGAACGATTCCGCTTCGGCGTGCAACCATCACCTGTCGCGAAAGAAAACGCCAGAAATCATCATTTGCGCGTTCTGCTCGTCGCTCGAGACTCAGGATGCTCCGCTGAGCGCTGGTGACGCGGCAGGGAAGCGGGGCATTGTGGGTAATGTAGTTATGTGAGACTGGCTGGCCTACAATTTGACAGTCTGAAGGTCGCGAGAACGTCTTGCATTCAGTTTATGAGATCAAAACTACCAGTAGGCGACTAATAAAAGCTAGTTATCCTAACAATGTTGCCATCGTGTGGATGTCTTGAAGAAGTACAGCGTTGACAGAGAATCAAAATTCAATGTCAGATTTAAAAAATCAAAAAACAAAACAACAACTGTTTTCTTTTTCATTCTCTTGGAATGAACGAACAAACTAACGAATTAATATATATACACATACATTTGGAATAAGTAACATTAAATGACGATAATAATCATATCATACACCGTAGAATATAATTTAAGTGTGATTTAAATTCTAATTTTTCGGATTCTGCCAACTTTGTTTTATTGGTGGGTAAATATCATATTCATGCATGCAAATGGAAAAAAAAATGTAAGCCCTCCTTTAATATATTTCTTTGTGAGTTTGTGAAAATGTTTCAGAGCTTTAATAAGTAGGCCTACTTTACATTACATTTAGTCATTTAGCAGATGCTTTTATCCAAAGCGATTTACAAATGAGGACAACAGAAGCAATCAAAATCAACTAAAGAGCAATAATAAGCACGTGCTATAACAAGCCTCAGTTAGCTTACACATAGCAAGTTTTTTTTTTTTTTATTATATAATAAATAAACATTTTTTACTTTAAAACTTTCGTTTAAAAAACTAAATAGAAAGTTTGAAACCTCTGTTCGCCTCTCTATCTCAAAATATCTCATTATGATTTATTATTATTGTTTTAATGTATTTTTATTTTATGTCTTTTTGTACTTCTTCTATTGATTCTTGCTCCTTGTGTTTTTCACAGTGACTCTAAAAAACTTTTTGACTTCACATTTATACAAAACAATGTCTTATTGTGTAAAACCATTTATTTAATAATTTGCGGTCACATTCGCTTTCTGCGGCAGCGTCATTGGGGGCGTATCCTCTGTGCAGAATCTGTGACGTCAGTCCGCGCATGAGCGCTGCGGAGTGTCAGAGAGGAAAGATGGCGGCCCTCAGAGCGGGTCTCCTGACCCGAGCTCTTACTAAAGGAAAAACACCGGCAATCTCAAACATTATCCTCGGAACAAGAGCAGGTGCTGTCTTACACATATGCTATTTCATATTATGGGAATATAGGCTATAAAAGCAGCGTTTTATAGTATCTAATGAATGATAACCTTCATGTCAAGGCTGCGGAGCTAACATGCTAAGCGAACCCCTAATAGTGTTTTTACGTGATTGTAAACAAATGCAATTAATTGTTAACTGCTTTGCATTAGGATTAATTGCTGTTTTGTTTTAACATATTATAAATTAAATGCCTTGTTATGTTTTTTTCTACGTGTTTCTTCAAAATGTTCAATTTTGTTGGCCTTGTGTGCACCTGACTGTGTATTATTATATACTATAGGCTGTATGTTTTTTAGATGATAGATTTAATTACTTAACTAGCTATCTAAAATACAAGTTTATACATGATTTTGTTTATGTGTGTCTAAAGTAGTCTGGAGAACTCTTTTCTTTTTCTGATTTCTTCTCTTGTTATTGTGTGTAATGTGTAATCATAATAATAATGGTGTGTTGTGTTACAGCATCTGGTCCTTCTAAGGACACATTACCCGGTGCGTACCCCAGAAGCCCAGAGGAGATGGCAGCAGCGGCCAAAAAATACAACATGACGCTGGAAGATTACAAACCTTATCCTAATGACGGCATGGGGTGAGTGTCTGTTAGCACACTTTGAGTGAATAATGTATTTTGTTTCCAGGAAGATGAATGGCTGATGATGTATTTAAATACATTTGCTCTGTTGTTACGCAGGTACGGTGATTACCCCATGCTTCCGGAGCGATCGCAGCAAGAGCGAGACCCCTGGTATCAGTGGGACCATCCTGATCTCAGGAGGAACTGGGGAGAGCCGGTGAGATTAACGTTCATCCTATAAATCCTGGTTTTTGTTTGATGAATCTACACAAGTGCACACATGCATTTACAAAGCCATTTTTCAGTTTTTTTGACACTTGACAGCATGCACATTTTTCATGCCGCTTTTCAATTCCATTGCATGCTTTTTGAAAGTACTATAGAATATAGTGTTTAAAGCACCATGCATTTTTGCCTACAAGGTGACACGACTCTAGTTCATCAATTAACATCTTGTGAAGACAAAAGCTGCATGTTTGTAAAAACCAATCCATCAAGACATTTTTTTTTTTTAGCTTTTATTTGGTTCATCTTAGGTCAAACAGAAAGTAACAATAACATAAATATAGCAATATACTATAAATAATAGATATACACACATAACACAACCATACATTCATTCAGGCAATCATAGTTATACATTCCAATAAAGAAAGAAAGAAAGCGAATAAATGAATAATTAAATAAAATAAATAAACAAATAAAATTAAGATACAGTTGTCTCCTTAAAATATTTCAGAAAAGGGCTCCAGACTCTCAAAAAAAGTTTAGGCTTTTGTTTTATCGCAAACCGAATCTTTTCCGTCCTGAGAGCTTGGAAAAAATCAAAAACCCATTGGCGATAAGGAGGGGGAGCTGGCTGCTGACTTCCAATTCATAAGAATGAGCCGCCTAGCCAGTAGAGTTGCTAAGGCTAGGCTACACTATCAGCCTGTGATATGTTTAATTGAACAGATTCTGGCAAAATCAATAAGACACTTTTAACCCATAATCCATAATAACGCTTCCTCCAGTAGGGTTGTGACGGTGAGGACATTTTCCCACTGGTTAATCGACGTGTGACAACACCTGTATCACCGCGGGGGCGTTCCCTCTTTTCCTGGCTTTCCTTCGCTTTTAAATAGCTTGTAAAATCTGCGGGCGCATTTTACTTTCACTTTGAAATAGCGGCAATTCGGAGTAAAGCAATTGTTCGTTTTCAGTTCGTTTGAATTTTCCTCGCTTTCCTTCGCTTTTAAATAGCTTAAAAGCGCCGTGCGCATTTTACTTTCACTTTCAAATTAGTTTTATTACTATAAAAAATCAAAACGACGGTGGGGGTCGGTGCCGCGGTGGGCAAGTGACGTAACCGGTGTTGCAACGGTATCACCGTCAATCGCGGCAAGCCTATCCTCCAGTGAAAAAGTCCATCTCACAACAAAACCCACACACATACTGTATTTGTTCAGAGCTGTTTTGGCTTGTAAACAGTGCTTGATCTTTGCAGATTTCTCTCCCGATTCAGACCTTTTCTTTTACTAGAGAAAGTGAATATTTTGTGATGTTTGTTTAGATGCACTGGGACTTTGACATGTACATCAGGAACAGGGTTGACACGTCTCCGAGCCCCGTGGAGTGGAGGACGATGCGGAACCAGCTGCTGGGGTTCGTGGGCTTCATGCTGCTGATGTTTGGTTTGGGAGAGATGTTCCCCTGCTACCAGCCTGTGGTGAGTAAAGGGAGAACTGCACAGTAGAAAAACGGTTCATTTACAGAACATTTCAAAGGGAAGCGTGTTATTTCTGCATCACTAGCAAACTAGGAATTGCAAACTCTTTTAGCTTGTGATTTTTTGCAACCAATTGCACACCAGGGTTAATTTAACATTATATAGTATTGTATTCCACAGATGTTATGAATGAGTCTCATCATCTGTCTTTCTCTTTCCAGGCTCCTAAACAGTATCCTTACAGCGACCTGTATCTGGAGAGAGGCGGAGATCCTGCGAAAGAACCAGAACCTGTCAAAAATTATGAAATCTAATGCTAGAAACCTCTCTGTTTCATAACTTGTGTATATTTCTGTCTCTCTAATAAAGTTAACTTAAATGTCATCTGTCGGATTACTGGCTCCAAAAGTAAGCTGGATTACGTGATCACGGATCGCAAAAAAAGGATTACTAAATCCGGATCAATTTTATCCGGATTAAACCTTTTGAAAAACCGGGCCCAGCATTTCATTATGTGTAGTATAATTATTAATAATGATATAAATAACATTTTTGAAACTAAGAGAACATCTGTTGTTTCATGTTAGTGGAGTGTCTGCGTGATGTGTGTTAGTTACATGCTCTAATAAAGTTAACTTAAATGTCATCTGTCGGATTTACCATTTCTTACCTTTCATTCAAATGAGACCTTAAACCGTCATCAGCATTTCATTATGTGTAGTATAATTATTAATAATGATATAAATAACATTTTTGAAACTAAGAGAACAACTGTTGTTTCATGTTAGTGGAGTGTCTGCGTGATGTGTGTTAGTTACATGTATTTATATTATATATGTAATAAATCAATTCAATAATTTTATTACCTTTTAACATCAGATGGGATGTCAGTAGTCAGTCTTTGAACTAAAAGTTCCAAAAAAAAAAATGCTTTTAATAAGAACAGCATTAAGTGTTAAACAATAATTGATATAATGTGTGTGTAGCTGGCTTTTTCACTTATAAAATCTCCTAAATGTTAAAGGAACTTTTATATGGGCACTGTTGGCTTAATTTGTAATCTAAGCGATGTTGGCGTTAGTAGAAATATAAATCGCGTCGAGCAGATTGTTAGTTTTGAGTCTTCATCGTTTCGTAAACACTGTCCCTCGCCGGCTGCCGTACTGGACTACAATTCCGCGCCGGACTACATTCCCCATGAGTGACGCGCGGAGCGCCGCTAAAATCTCTTCAACACACAAACGAGACTAATAGTCACAAACAACCGTAAGTACACACACAACACTTGCTGTAATCAGACGTTTTTAGGATTAAATCGAGGTTGTGATGTTAGATGGTGTGTGTGATCGCGATCTCATCCGTGTGTTTAGGTTTGTGGAGCGCAGACAGTAAGCAGCAGGTTAATGCTAACGCTAAAAGCAGATGATCAGGAATAACCTGTGATTATAAACATACATTTCTGCTCTATATTGGCTCCACGAGACATTTATTACACGTATAGTTTATGAGGATGAAAAATTAATCTGATACTATATATATATAATTGGAGTCTGAGACGTAATATATGCTGTATTTGACACACATATATTAGTGTAGTGCTACTGTTTTCGTGATTTCGTGTTAATGTTGTTTCTAAGCGTTTTTATTTAACGTAATATTAAGATACGGGTTCTTTAGGCTGATCTGACGTTGTTAAATGACATACTTAGTTGCATTTCGAATTTGCACATAATATACCTGTACATACATAATTGTCTATTTGTTGTTATTCCCTATTGTTCTATTTTTATTCTTTCATTATCTGTGTCACTGTCATTCTGTTGCACCGTGGAAGTCACGAAAACAAATTCCTCGTATGTGTAAACATACCTGGCAATAAAGCTCATTCTGATTCTGATTAATGCAGATGCATGGCATGTCAGATTGTCTCATCATGTTCTCGTCTCTTCAGGATTTGGGAGGAAGATGAGGGTGAAGGAGATACTCAGGACGGCGACACAGGCGTGGAGTCCTGCGACAAAGCATCCCGTGTACCTGGCCTTAGGTAACTGTGCCTATGTGTGTGTTTTCACCTGTCAGCTGGTGCTTGTATTATTCAGACGCATCCAGAATGCTGGAGTGATCTGGTCTTCTTCACTGTCTCGTATCTGCAGGAACCGCAGCGCAGCAGCTGGATGCATCCTTCAACACCAGCGCCGTTCTGGAGATCTTTGAGATGGATTTCGCTGATTCATCCATGGACATGAAGCTCAGAGGAACTCTGCCCACTTCTAACAGGTCAGTTATTCTGGAAACTTCGACTGTGTTTGGAATATCATACAGTACTGCTGCCATATGATATATATTATACAGCATACCATTCAAAAGTTTGCAAGATTTTTTATGTTTTTGAAGTCTCTTCTGCTCACCAAGGCTGCATTTATTTGATCAAAAATACAGTAAAATTGTGAAATATTATTAGAATTTAAAATAGCCGTTTTCTGTGTGAGTATCTGTTAAGTTGTAATTTATTTCTGTGATCAAAGCTGTATTTTCAGCATCATTACTCCAGTCTTCAGTGTCACATGATCTTCAGAAATCATTCTAATACGCTGATTATTAGAAACATTTCTGATTATCATCAATGCTGAAAACAGTCGTGCTGCACGATATTTGTGTGGAAACCGTGATGCATTTTATTTTTCAGGATTCACGGGTGAATAGAAAAGTTCAAAAGAACAGCGTTTAATCTTTCACGAAAAAAAGAAAAGAAAAAAAAGTTACTGAATGTTAAAAGCGTTTTACATAAATTTTAACTGAAAATGCCGTGGCCATGACTTTTGCATAGACATACACATTCAGAATGTGTAGAAATCTCGTTGAGTTGGTGTCCTCATCTGAAGGTATTTGTGAAGGGATTGTCTGGGTGTGTTAGGAATGTTTATTACAATCTCTCTCCACACTGAGCTCTACAGAAAACATTCAAAACATCTACTTAGCTTTGACATGAAGTGATTGAGTTGCAGCAGTTTGGAGATGTCTCTTCCTCGAAGGTGAATTTATCTTTATATTAATAGCATTTCCCCCCAGCAGTGACAGAATAGCAGAAATACCGGTTGAACAGCAGCTTTGGTTTAGAGAGCAGAATGAGTTCTGTGCGATCTGACACGCACAAACACACGTGTGTGAACCGGTTTCGTCGTGTGTCACTCTCACTGAAGTGTTATCAATTTGTCATTTTACAAATTGACACAAAAATTGAATTTCCAGTTTTTCTCTCGGGTTATTAGTATATATATATGTATATATACAGTGCCCTCCATAAGTACTGTTTGCTGTGGAGTCAAGACATTTGCAAATATGATTAAAAGATGAATATGAGATAAAACTACAAATTGTCACATTTTATTATTGGGTGATTCAACACATAGATGTTTTACCAAATAAAAAGGACAGCACTTTTAGAGTTTCATCCCACTATCTGATGTGAGTACAAGTATTGGAGCAGTTGCCTCACAGTTCTCTGTAAGTGATCAGCTGTGTCCCGTTGCATTAATTCTTCAGATATTAAAAGCAGGGAATGTGTGGTATCAGTTATATCCATAGCTTCTGCATTCGATGACGACACACACAAACCAGGATGAAGATGAGAGAAAAGCAAGCAATTTGGATGCTAAAAGAAAAGAGGAAGTAAATTAAAAACAAAGAGCATGGAGAAATCAAGAGTTTGGAAACCACCGGCAACATCAGCAACTAACAACGACCTGATCGGCTGAGAAAAACAATGACAGACAAATCATAAAAGCTGTGAAAATGAACCGTAAAATCACCAACAACCTCCAGAAAGCTGGGTGATGCTCTGACAATCTACTGTGCGCAGGAGACTTCGACACAGAATTACAGAAGCTACAGCAAGATGCAAACCTCTGATCAGCAACAAACATTTAATGATGATTTAATGTATGATGGCAGCAGCAGAATGAATTTAGAAGGGTACAAAACCATCTTGGCTACCAATATTCAAGAAAAGGCCACCAGATTCATCAGAAAGCGCTTCATATTGCTTCAGGACAATGACCCAAAACACCCTGCCAGTTCAGTCGAGGAGTTTATCAGGGCAAAGAAATGTAAAGTCTTAGATGGCCCAAATCAATCTCCAGATTTAATTCTGACTGAACATGAATTTCACCGGCTGAAGAGGAGACTAAAGGCAGAAACTCTCCAAAACAAGCAACAGCTGGAATTGGCTGCATTAAAGGCTGGTTTTAGGTTGCCCAAATCAATCTCCAGATTTAAATCTGAGATTGAACATGAATTTCACCGGCTGAAGAGGAGACTAAAGGCAGAAACTCTCCAAAACAAGCAACAGCTGGAATTGGCTGCATTAAAGGCTGGGAAACGTTTCAAAGGATAAGATCAAGAGTCTGGTGATGTCTATGTTATCGCACGCACTAAATAATAGCTTTTAATCTTTTACAGTAACTGTTCCAATACTTATGCTCACATATGAATTCTAAAAGTGCTGTCCTTTTTTATTTGGTAAAACATGTATGTGTTGAAACAGCTAATAATAAAATGTGGCATTCTGTAGTTTTGTCTCATATTCATCTTTTAATCATATTTGCAGATGTCTTGACAACACAGCAAACAGAGCAATTTTGTCATTACTGTTCCGATACTTATGGCACACTGTATATGTACAGTATATATATATATATATATATACACATGTAATGTGTCAAGGTTGCAGATTTTGCCTAAAGTTATCACTCAGTGGGGACCAGCTAGTGGTGCACAAAATGCTGCTAATGTTAATATGTGACCCTGGAGCACAAAAGCAGTCTTAAGTCGCTGGGGTATATTTGTAGCAATAGCCAACAATACATTGTATGGGTCAAAATTATACATTTTTCTTTTATGCCAAAAATCATTAGGATATTAAGTAAAGATCATGTTCCATGAAGATATTTAGTAAATCTCCTACCGTAAATATATCAAAACTTAATTTTTGATTAGTAGTATGCATTGCTAAGAACTTAATTTGGACAACTTTAACGATGATTTTCTCAATATTTTGTTTTTTTTGCACCCTCAGATTCCAGATTTTCCAAATATTGTTCTATCATAACAAACCATACATCAATGGAAAGTTTATTTATTCAGCTTTCAGATGATGCATAAATCTCAATTTTTATGACTGGATTTGTGGTACAGGGTCACATACTGTATTATGATAGATAATATTTTATTTTTAGCATATCTAATGAACATGGGATTTGTGCATTTATTGTTTTGTTTGTTTTTTAATTTAATAATTTGTTTAATAATTGTAGCTGAAAATAATCAGACATGAGTTGAATCGTGTGTGTGTGTGTGTGTGTGTGTGTGTGTGTGTGTGTGTCAGGTTTCACAGTCTGATCTGGGTGGCGTTTGATATGGAGGTGAAGGGCTCGTCCGGGCGGCTCATCGGCGGCAGTGAGAGCGGAAGCGTGACCGTCTTCAGCCCCGACGCTATTCTCAGCGCGGCAGAGGACGCCGTGATCGGACAGTCCAACAAACACACAGGCCCTGTGCACGCGCTCGACTACAACCGCTTCCAGGTACAGCTCAGACTCTCGCTTAACATCCGATCACATCCGCTGACGCTTTCACAAACACACGTGTGTTTCCTCCGCATCAGAGTAACCTCATCGCCTCCGGAGCCAGCGATTCAGAAATATACATCTGGGACTTGAACAACTTCAGTAATCCCATGACGCCGGGCACAAAGTCACAGGTAGGAACCTTTCTTCGGTTCTGTATTGTTTGGTCAGTGTTCACAGCATCGTAAAGTGACTGCGTTTGTCTCTGTCTCTTCAGCTCTGTGAGGTAAGAGGAAGGTCGTTGGTTTTTGTGAGGGTTTGTGGTGGTTTTGCTGTGGTTTGGGTTTTGATTGACCTCTTCTCTAACCATTCATCTCACTAAACAATGGGTTACTACCTAAAAACACAGTTCATCTGAGTGTGTTTGGTTGTTTTGAACAGTAATGAATTGCAGTAACTGCATTAAATCTTCACCTGCTGGTTTGTGGGAAAGTCACAGATTCTCTGGTTTAGCTGCATGCTTGAGCATGTCACTAAAAATTTATATATTTTAATATTAGAATGGGTGTCTACATGGGCTTAGATAGATATATGCAGTTGTTAAATATTAAAATGTACACTTTAATATTATAAAGGATGGCTACTTGGGCTTAGATAGATATACTGTATGAGGTCATTATATATTTATTCATTGATATATTTTAATATTATAATGGGTGTCTAACTGGGTATAGATAGATATGAGGTTGGCTAAATGGGTATATATCTATATATGAGGTTACTAAATATTACATTTAATAAATTATAACGATTGGCTAAATGGGTATATATCTATATATGAGTTCACTAAATATTACATTTAATATATTTTAATATTAATTTATAATGATTGGCTAAATGGGTATATATATATGAGGTTACTAAATATTACATTTAATAAATTATAACGATCATGAGGTCAGTAAATATTAAAATATATGTATTTTTTTTGTGATTGTTTTTATAAAATTTGAAATAATAACATTACAGAGCTTGAATAACAGCGTAAATACCAAGAAAAAAACAAAAAAAACAAGTACAGTGAATAATACTTCAGGGTAACTTAAAAGGAACATACAAATAAACCACGGCAGCAAATTACCACACAGAATAATGCATCTTCAATTTAAAATATATTTTATTATAATGTTTGGGTTTTGATTAACCTCTTTAAAATCTCTTTGTAAAGTTCAGCTGACTAAACAATGGGTTGCAAACCTAAAACCAGTTCTGGGACAGTGTTTTTTGGGATGTTTTTGTGAGTGTTTTGTGAAGTCTCAGGCGTTGTGCTGGTTCTGTCGTGTGTTAGCCGGCGGAGGACGTGAGCGTGGTGGCGTGGAACAGTCAGGTGCAGCACATACTGGCCTCCGCAAACCCCAGCGGGAAAGCCATCGTCTGGGATCTGAGGAAGAACGAGCCCATCATCAAAATCAGTGACCACAGCAACAGGGTGAGAGCATGCACACTAGGGCTGGGTTTTGACACAAGCTCAAACGATTCGATTCTCGTTCACAAGCTTGCTATTCGATTACCGATTCAATTCGATTCTCATTCACAAGCTTGCGATTCGATTTGATTACTGATTCGATTCTTATTCACAAGCTTGCTGTTCGATTCGATTACCGATTCGATTCTCATTCATAAGCTTGCTATTCGATTCGATTCGATTCCCGTTCCCACGCATTCGATTCGATTACCGGTTCGATTCTCGTTCACACGCATTCGATTCGATTACCGATTCAAACGCATTCGATTCGATTTCCGATTCGATTCTCATTCACAAGCTTGCTATTCGATTCGATTACCGATTCGATTCTCATTCACAGGCTTGCTATTCGATTCGATTACCGATTCGATTCTCATTCACACGCTTTCGATTCGACAAGCTTGCGATTCAATTCGATTACCGATTCGATTCTCGTTCACACGCATTCGATTCGATTACCGATTCGATTCTCATTCACAAGCTTTCGATTCGATTCTCGTTCACACGCATTCGATTCGATTGCCGATTTGATTCTTATTCACAAGCTTAAGATTCGATTTGATTACTGGTTCGATTCTCATTCACAAGCTTGCGATTCGATTTGATTACCGATTCGATTCCCATTCACAAGCATTCGATTCGATTACCGATTCGATTCTCGTTCGCAAGCATTCGATTTGATTACCGATTCGATTCTCATTCACAAGCTTGCGATTCGATTCGATTACCGATTCGATTCTCGTTCGCAAGCATTTGATTCGATTACCGATTCGATTCTCGTTCGCAAGCATTCAATTCGATTACCGATTCGATTCTTATTCACAAGCTTGCGATTCGATTTGATTACTGATTCGATTCTCATTCACAGGCTTGCGATTCAATTACCGATTCGATTCTCATTCACAAGCATTCGATTCGATTCTCGTTCACACGCATTCGATTCGATTCTCATTCACAAGCTTGCGATTCGATTACCGATTCAATTCTCGTTCATAAGCATTCGATTCGATTACCGATTCGATTCTCATTCACAAGCTTGCGATTCGATTCGATTACCGATTTGATTCTCATTCACAAGCTTGCGATTCGATTACCGATTCGATTCTCATTCACAAGCTTGCGATTCGATTCGATTACCGATTTGATTCTCATTCACAAGCTTGCGATTCGATTACCGATTCGATTCTCATTCACAAGCTTGCGATTCGATTCGATTACCGATTTGATTCTCATTCACAAGCTTGCGATTCGATTACCGATTCGATTCTCATTCACAAGCTTGCGATTCGATTCGATTACCGATTTGATTCTCATTCACAAGCTTGCGATTCGATTACCGATTCGATTCTCATTCACAAGCTTGCTATTCGATTCAATTACCGATTCAATTCGATTCTCGTTCACACGCATTTGATTCGATTACCGATTCAATTCTCATTCACAAGCTTGCGATTCTATTTGATTACCGATTTGATTCTCATTCACAAGCTTGCGATTCGATTCGATTCTCGTTCACAAGCTTGCGATTCGATTACCGATTCAATTCTCATTCACAAGCTTGTGATTCGATTTAATTACCGATTTGATTCTCATTCACAAGCTTGCGATTTGATTACCGATTTGATTCTCATTCACAAGCTTGCGATTCGATTCAATTCGATTACCGATTCGATTCGATTCTCATTCACAAGCTTGCGATTCAATTCTATTACCGATTCGATTCTCGTTCACACGCATTTAAATGTGACATTACGTGACATTGTTTACAAGCCGTTATATTGAGGTCTTTGCGCGGCTGAAACACTGATCGAGCGATTACTTGAGACAGGATAAGGATAGTTGTACTCTTTCTTTTAACGTACCTTCGGATGTTTACTCATGTTTATTTTGTGCTATAACTAGTATTAAAGCGGAGGAGATGATCAGTTCACGTCTGTTGAACTGTGGCACTTCAGTGATCACTCCACATTAAACAGCGCCAAAACTGCATTTATTGTTTGATTGATGTCTTTGCGCATCTGAAACACTGATTGAGCGATTACATGAGACAGGATACAGATTGTAAAGTTGTACGCTTTCTTTTAACTTACCTTCGGATGTTTATTCATGTTTATTTTGTGCTGAAGCTGGTATTAATGTGAAGAAGATGATCAGTTCACGTGCGCCTCGCACTGCCGCGTCTGTTGATCTGAGGTGCTACAGCGATCTGTCACTCCACATTAAACAGCGCCAAAATGGCATTTATTGTAATACATGCAATACTGCAATACATTGGACAGAATTTGAAATCTGAGACTTTGTTTCATATTAAAAGTACTAAAGCACAATGCTTATTGCGATATATTGCATGGGAAGTGCCCTTCAACGTTCCGTCCATTAACTGAACATAGGCTAGACTAATCGATTCTTGTGATCTAAGAATCGATATCGTTCTGTAAAAATGAGAATCGATTAATATCGAGATACCGATATTTTTTACCCAGCCCTAATGCACACCCATCAACGCTTGACGAAAGCAGATCAGGCATGTTTTGAACCTGCTGCGTGATGTGTGTGTGTGTGTGTGTGTGTGTCAGATGCACTGCTCGGGGATGTTGTGGCATCCAGATGTGGCCACTCAACTGCTTCTGGCATCAGAGGATGACAGACTTCCGGTCATACAGATGTGGGACCTTCGGTTTGCAACCTCGCCTCTCAAAGTCCTGGAGAGCCACACCAGGTAGAGATTCACACAAACCCTGTCAGATTCAACTGATTCATTCAGGTCACGTCTCCACAAAAACACTCTTCTCAATGTTCCAGAGGGATTCTGTCCATCTCGTGGAGTCAAGCTGATCCAGAGCTTCTTCTGAGCAGCGGCAAAGACAACCGGATCCTGTGCTGGAACCCAAACACCGGAGAGGTGCGTCAGTCACACCTGCCGCTTTTCTACATTTGTCGACACTTCTATTCTAAGTGACTTGTTACGTGTCTCTACTGTCTTTTTCATCTGATTAATTTGAATCTTTTTTAAAGATTGATTTTCACAGACACAGTATGAACAAACAAAATAAAAACAGATTAGTTTAAAACATAATTTCATTACAGTAACATTTTTTAAATACTTAAAAATTAAATAGTTCTGTTAAAAGGTATGTTGTTTTCAAAAATAATGCATTTTATTAGTTGTTGTTAAATATAATATGTAATGTATTATTATTATTATTAGGGTTAAATGTCTCTACTGTGTCATTTTTGTGGTTAATATTTTGAATCTGTTTTTTTTTTAATTAATTTTCACAAACTTTCACAGACAATATTATTATTATTTTATAGAATAAATAACATCATAAAATATAACAATATTGCATTATTTTAGTACAATTTAACAGCTATTTATGTAATATTATATATAATGTATTATAAAATCTGCATTTTATTATTATTATTAAAATATAGAATAAATAATAATAAATATATAATATATATAATAAATTTAGTAATTGTAATAATTATTTCAGTAATTATTAAAATTAATAAAACAATTATTATATATATATTTTTTTTACTAACTTTAATAATTGTAATAATTTTCTCAAACAACTTTTTATCAGGATTAATGAAATCATAGAAATCGGATCGCATTGCACATGCACTGAGCATCATGCCTCGTCTCTGGTGTTTCAGGTGATTTACGAGCTGCCGACAGCCAATCAGTGGTGTTTCGATGTGCAGTGGTGTCCACGTAACCCCGCCCTCCTGTCAGCCGCATCGTTTGACGGACGGATCAGTGTGTACTCTGTGATGGGAGGACGTCTTCAGCAGCATCAGCACAGCACGGTGGACCAGGTGAGATTATGGGAACATTTAACCTGCTTTTCTTTGAGGAATGATGATCACATGATCTCTGTCTCTGTTCTTAGATCTCGGCTTCGTTTGACACCAGCGACCCGTTTGGAACCGGTCAGACTCTTCCTCCTCTGCAGGTTCCTCAGCCCTCAGTCGAAACCACCATCATCCCTCCGCTAAAAAAGCCGCCCAAGTGGGTACGGAGGCCCGTAGGAGCATCTTTCGCGGTGAGTATTACTGAGACATTGAGAAATCTGGTAAGATGTGTCTGATGAAAAATGTTTGTCAGCAAAGTTTTTTTCCCCTGACTAAGACGAGACGATAATAAGGTCATTAAACGATAACTGAGACTATATCAGCATACAATATTGTTGACGAAAATGTTGTTAAAAGAACAAAAACTTCACCAAACCCTTTTAACTTTTGTTGAGCCAAAACATTTCAGACTGCTGTACAAGACTCTATTATGCGAGCGTTCACGTTTGCGGTTGCCAGATATCAAGAGCTCAAATCCCACAATCAAAGCTTTTCTCTCTGCTTTTTGCTTTATACAATGTGGCAACCACTCACACGCGCTCTCTCATGATCTGAAAACACCGACATAAAGTACTGTACAAGTAAGCTGGAGTTCAGCGATGTCTGTTTAAATGAAAGCGTCATTCAGCAGTCTGTGTTCTGTCAGGGATCTCCACTGTATTGTTTGCTGATTGTAACGTTATTTACGCAACCTCTGTGCGACAATAAGTCTTTTTTGCCGTTGTTTTAAAATAGAAACATTGGGCTAATGCAATTTGGAATTATTGTAAAATAAATTTCCCAAGTGAGAACAATCATTGCAATTAAAATTGAGCAAAATATTATTTATTATTAAATACATTTTTAACATTATACAGAAAGACGAAAATGTGTAAGTTTCCACTGACTAAAATGCTCAAACATTTAGTCGACCAAAACTAAAACGGGACAAGTTGACTAAATGTTGACCCTGGAGCACAAAACCAGTCATAAGGGTCAATTTTGCAAAATTGAGATATATACATCATCTGAAAGCGGAATAAATAATCTTTCCATTGATGTATGGTTTGTTAGGATAGAACAATATTTGGCCGAGATACAACTATTTGAAAATCTGGAATCTGAGAGTGCAAAAAAATCAAAATATTGAGAAAATCATCTTTAAAGTTGTCCAAATTAAGTTCTTAGCAATGCATATTACTAATCAAAAATTAAGTTTTGATATATTTATGGTAGGACATTTACAAAATATCTTCATGGAACATGATCTTTACTAAATTATCCTAATGATTTTTGGCATAAAAGAAAAATTTATAATTTTGACCCATACAATGTATTGTTGGCTATTGCTACAAATATACCCCAGCGACTTAACACTGCTTTTGTGCTCCAGGGTCACATATATGATAAAAAATAAAAGTTACATTTGACACAGACTTGCACTAAGACTAAATAAAAAGAAATAAATAGCTGACAAAATGAACACTGTTGAGCTTCCTGTGAGTCTGTGCTTGCTTCTGTCTCCTCTAGTTCGGAGGGAAGCTGGTGACGTTTGAGAGCCCTAATGTGGCTCCGCAGCAGCAGCAGCCAATCCGGCGACAGGTGCATGTGAGTCAGGTGACCACAGAGACGGAGTTCCTCCAGCGCTCGGACGAGCTGCAGGCCGCTCTGCAGTCAGGATCCTTCAGCAGCTACTGCCACGGCAAGATCAGCAGCGCCCCGTCGGACGCCGAGCAGGACATATGGAGGTTCCTCATGGTATAAACATTCACATTTACACACAACTACAACTCCACATGTGACCTGGACCCTGGAGCACAAAAGCAGTCTTAAGTCGCTGGGGTATATTTGTAGCAATAGCCAACAATACATTGTATGGGTCAAAATTATCGATTTTTCTTTTATGCCAAAAATCATTAGGATATTAAGTAAAGATCATGTTCCATGAAGATATTTTAAATCTCAATTTCACAAAATTGACCCTTATGATTGGTTTTGTGCTCCAGGGTCACAAATGTCGTTCCAACTCTTATTTACTAGGGCTGGGACAATAAATCGATGCATGGCGATTCGTGGATCGATTCTGAGATTATCGGTATGCATCGTGATTCTCTCTGGAATCGATTCTGAGCTTAGTTTTTAACAGTAGATGGCGCTCTAGCTTAGTTTTTAACCGTACACTCAAATGCTCACGAATAAGAGCGTGTGTGCGTTCGGCTGAGTAATGTAAGTGGTTAAATGTACTTGCACATAGGCTTTTATGCTTTATGATGAGATTAATGTAAACACAGCCCACTGTGAACATCCTTGTAATTCGCTTCAACCTTTTCTAACTTTATGAATGATTATTTTAGGTTCAAATGGTGCGTGTGTGAGGAACTGGAATAAAGCAGAATACGGCTAAAACACGCAGTGCCATCTGCTGTTAAAAACTAAGCTCAGAATCGATTCAAGAGAGAATCACGATGCCTTCGGAAAATCTCAGAATCGATGCAGAATCATTTCTCGATTCGCGATGCATCGATTTATTGTCCCAGCCCTAATATTTACTTTCTTCTGCGAAACACAAACAGAGATGCCACAAAACCCGGCTTCATTCAACCTAATGAAAAGCATAGTTAACACAGTGTCTTAAATCACTATAGTGCACTACATTCCAATACTGTTTCAGGAGGTCTTAAAAAGTCTTAATTCACCCTATGAAGGCCTAGAAAGAATCTTAAATCAGAGCCAGAAGTCTAAAATTCATAAAGGCATGGCAAATAAATGTTGCACGCACTTCAAAACATGAACATCTCGTATCTATCTTTTTGTCTTTTTAATATAAGTCTCCTTAAATCAGGATGCATTTGCTTGAGATGCAAAATGTTTTGAAAAAAAGATATGATGTCTGAAAAAATTGAGCAAAATTATCTATTTCAGATACAGATTTAGCACCTTTTATAATGTTGGGTAGGGCTGCACGATTTGAAATCTATTTGTGATTTTTCTGATAAAAAATTATGATATTAAAATGTGATTAAAAAAACTCATTTGTAGAGCTGTATATTTTGGCCAATATGTTGTTGTTTTTAATAATAATTGCAATAATTATTATTGCTAAATAAAATCTAAAAAATATATATACTATTGCAATATTTCACTGTAAAATAAAAAATCAAGTTTTTAAGAAAAATAATATATTAATAATTAAATTTTACATTACAATACTAATTAGCTAAGCTTTTATTTATTTGATGAAAACTGCAGGAAGCCCTTAAAGCTTCTCTGTTGTTAATAACTGCTTAAGAATTGTTTTATTTCGGATTCAAGAGAGCATTTGATTAGACAGAAAATCAGACAGAATTTTAAAAAAAATTGAGTTCATGTGTTCCCTGGGAATCGAACCCATGACTTTGCTGTTGCAAGCACCGGAATAGATAATATAGATCATCTTTAAGCTGTCATATTCATGCTAAAATCCACAGAGAACTGATGCATGAATCAGTTTGAGGTGAAATGCATGACTGTTCTGTGGTGTTTTTAACAGGTGAACTTTGAAGATGAAGCGCGTGTGAAGTTTCTGCGGCTGCTGGGCTTCAGTAAAGACGAGCTGCAGAGGAAGGTATCGCATCAAACTACAGCACTGTCAACATTCGGATTCATTCACTAGTCATTATATTAGATGAGAGCGGGGTAAACTGTGCCACCTATGTACAGAAGTTGTCCTATAAAATAAGACATTTGTTCTAAATGCAAGACAAAATATGCCATTTTCTAGATTTACCCACTGACACATCTTACCCCACCTCATTACTTTTCAGATGTTTTGCCATGAAAATCATGAATAATGCATGTTTTTCAGTGACCAGGAGATATTACGCTCCCATACTGACAAAAAATGGCCATAACAGTTGTTCATATGACTTATGCACTATATTCCAAGTTTTACGACTAATAATAACTAAAATAATAAGATAAGAATACTACTACTACTAATAATAACAACAAAAACAACAGTAATAATAATAAAAATAACAATAATGCTAATAATAATGCTTATAATATTAACTAATAATATTTATTCATTCTTTTTTATTTTTAGTGCTAGTTATTAAATAATAATTATTTTAATGTTTAGTCTTATTATTTTTATTATTATTTCAATAATAATAATAATTATTATTATTATTATTAAATTCTAATATGTATTATTATTAAATATTAAATTAGTAATAAAAATTATTAGTATTATTTTTATTTTTTCTTAGTCTTAGTTATTTCAGTAATTATTATTTTTATTATTAGTCACAATATTTAAATTATTATAATTAGTCTTCGTCTATTTTTTTCCTGATGATGCTGATTATGTGAGAGATTAGGGCTGTGTATCGGCAAAAATCTGGCGATACGATACGTATCACGATACAGGGGTTGCGATACGATATGTTGCGATATATTGCGATACTGTAAGCAAGACGATACATTGGGATATTTCTTAAAACATTAAAAACATTTTGCCACTGTTTAAGTTCAGAGGTAAGAAGAGTGCTATCTAGCGGTCGGGATGTAAACTCAAAACAATGGCCATGAATCTTGTATACATTTTTTTTGTTTTTTTTATATCGATATTGCATTTTTGTGAATAGATACAGTATCGCCAAACAAAATATCGCGATACTCATGTGTATTGATATTTTCTTACACCCCTATGAGAGAAACAGACCCATAATTTTTGAGTGAAGCTCTAATTCTAGCCTCTATTTCTGCAGATCTCAGCGTGTTTGGGGAGGAAGCTTCATCCGAACGGTTTAGACGTGAATGATCTGGCTGAGAAGATGCAGACGCTTTCTGATCAGGTGTGTGTCAGCTGCGCTTTAAATCAATGCATGCATGCTAGAAATCTCTTGTTGTACTGTATCTGATGTTGAATCGTCCAATCAGAGAGCAGATGAGTCAGACGGTTTGTCCGGCCGTGAGTCTCCGGCTGATTTCTTCAGTCAGCTACCAAAGAAAGAGAAAGACCGAGCGCCCTTCCAGATCCCCGTGTCCTCAGGTGAGCGTCTTATGAATGACACGCATGTTATGATATTGATGTTTAGATATGAATGTGGTGCTGTGTTGAGCAGATACGGACGGTCTGATCAGTCAGGCTCTGTTGGTGGGGAACTTCGAGGCTGCGGTGGATCTGTGCTTGAATGACGGCCGTTTCGCCGAAGCTATCCTCCTGTCAATCAGCGGAGGGGAGGAGCTACTGAAGAAGACCCAGCAACGCTACCTCCACCGACAGACCAACAGCGTCTCCATGGTAACCGCTTATGATCATTAGCATCTGTGCATGATGTCATTTTTGTTTCAGATTAATTCGTGCAAACTATGTCAGTATTCACTTCCATCTCCACTGTAAGTGTTATTTAATTGTTTTCTATTTATTTATTATTATTATTATTATTATTAGTCGTAGTAGTAGTTGTTGTCTTATTAAAATATTTTTAATAGTAATAATAAAAATATGACTTTTTATAACAATAATAATTTAAAAAGTATTATTTGTTCTTATTAGTCTTGTTAGTCTTATGTTATTACTATTATTATTATTGAATGTAATATTAAAATGACTAATAATAATAACAATTAGAATACTACTACTACTTCAAAAAATAATAATAACATTAATAATTTGTTTTATATTTATATACTTGTTATATTATAATATATATTATAAAACATTTGTTATATTATGAAGTTATTGTTGTTAGTATTATATGATTATTATTGATTATAAGACGACTAATGTAATATAATAATATATATTAAATAATAATTCTTTTTGTTATTAGTCTTATTTATCCCACTGTGTTCTTTTTAAAATATTATATATATATATATATATATATATATATATATATTGTGTAAATTTATTTTTTTTTTGCTAAGGTTTGCATATGGTGGTGTGTTCTAAATAACTATAAATATCGTCTTGCTTACAGTATCGCAATATATCGCAACATATCGTATCGCAACCCCTGTATCGTGATACGTATCGTATCGCCAGATTTTTGCCGATACACAGCCCTAATCTCTCACATAATCAGCATCATCAGGAAAAAAATAGACGAAGACTAATTATAATAATTTAAATATTGTGACTAATAATAAAAATAATAATTACTGAAATAACTAAGACTAAGAAAAAATAAAAATAATACTAATAATTTTTATTACTAATTTAATATTTAATAATAATACATATTAGAATTTAATAATAATAATAATAATTATTATTATTATTATTAAATTCTAATATGTATTATTATTAAATATTAAATTAGTAATAAAAATTATTAGTATTATTTTTATTTTTTCTTAGTCTTAGTTATTTCAGTAATTATTATTTTTATTATTAGTCACAATATTTAAATTATTATAATTAGTCTTCGTCTATTTTTTTCCTGATGATGCTGATTATGTGAGAGATTAGGGCTGTGTATCGGCAAAAATCTGGCGATACGATACGTATCACGATACAGGGGTTGCGATACGATATGTTGCGATATATTGCGATACTGTAAGCAAGACGATACATTGGGATATTTCTTAAAACATTAAAAACATTTTGCCACTGTTTAAGTTCAGAGGTAAGAAGAGTGCTATCTAGCGGTCGGGATGTAAACTCAAAACAATGGCCATGAATCTTGTATACATTTTTTTTGTTTTTTTTATATCGATATTGCATTTTTGTGAATAGATACAGTATCGCCAAACAAAATATCGCGATACTCATGTGTATTGATATTTTCTTACACCCCTATGAGAGAAACAGACCCATAATTTTTGAGTGAAGCTCTAATTCTAGCCTCTATTTCTGCAGATCTCAGCGTGTTTGGGGAGGAAGCTTCATCCGAACGGTTTAGACGTGAATGATCTGGCTGAGAAGATGCAGACGCTTTCTGATCAGGTGTGTGTCAGCTGCGCTTTAAATCAATGCATGCATGCTAGAAATCTCTTGTTGTACTGTATCTGATGTTGAATCGTCCAATCAGAGAGCAGATGAGTCAGACGGTTTGTCCGGCCGTGAGTCTCCGGCTGATTTCTTCAGTCAGCTACCAAAGAAAGAGAAAGACCGAGCGCCCTTCCAGATCCCCGTGTCCTCAGGTGAGCGTCTTATGAATGACACGCATGTTATGATATTGATGTTTAGATATGAATGTGGTGCTGTGTTGAGCAGATACGGACGGTCTGATCAGTCAGGCTCTGTTGGTGGGGAACTTCGAGGCTGCGGTGGATCTGTGCTTGAATGACGGCCGTTTCGCCGAAGCTATCCTCCTGTCAATCAGCGGAGGGGAGGAGCTACTGAAGAAGACCCAGCAACGCTACCTCCACCGACAGACCAACAGCGTCTCCATGGTAACCGCTTATGATCATTAGCATCTGTGCATGATGTCATTTTTGTTTCAGATTAATTCGTGCAAACTATGTCAGTATTCACTTCCATCTCCACTGTAAGTGTTATTTAATTGTTTTCTATTTATTTATTATTATTATTATTATTATTAGTCGTAGTAGTAGTTGTTGTCTTATTAAAATATTTTTAATAGTAATAATAAAAATATGACTTTTTATAACAATAATAATTTAAAAAGTATTATTTGTTCTTATTAGTCTTGTTAGTCTTATGTTATTACTATTATTATTATTGAATGTAATATTAAAATGACTAATAATAATAACAATTAGAATACTACTACTACTTCAAAAAATAATAATAACATTAATAATTTGTTTTATATTTATATACTTGTTATATTATAATATATATTATAAAACATTTGTTATATTATGAAGTTATTGTTGTTAGTATTATATGATTATTATTGATTATAAGACGACTAATGTAATATAATAATATATATTAAATAATAATTCTTTTTGTTATTAGTCTTATTTTTTTTATTAAATTAAATTGTTATTATTAGTATTATTATTGTTTATTATTAGTCTTAGTTATTATCAGTAATTATCATTAATATTGTTATTATTTGTAGCAATTTCTTAGTAGTCATTATTATTATTATTGTTTTTATTAGTCACAATATTCTTTAAATTACTATTATTATTATTATTTTTAGTCGCAGTATTATTATTATTATTATTATTAGTCACTGTATTATTATTATTATTATTATTAGTCACTGTATTATTATTATTATTATTATTAGTCACTGTATTATTATTATTATTATTATTAGTCACTGTATTATTATTATTATTATTATTAGTCACTGTATTATTATTATTATTATTATTAGTCACTGTATTATTATTATTATTATTATTAGTCACTGTATTATTATTATTATTATTATTAGTCACTGTATTATTATTATTATTATTATTAGTCACTGTATTATTATTATTATTAGTCACTATTATTATTATTATTAGTCACTATTATTATTATTATTTATCATTAGTCTTAGTTATTATCAGTAATTATAATTATTAATATTATTGTTATTATTTGTAGCCATTTCTAATTAGTCATTATTATTATTATTATTATTATTAATGTTTTTATTAGTCACAATATTCTTTAAATTACTATTATTATTAGTCACAGTATTATTAGTCACAGATTTATTATTATTATTATTATTAGTCACAGTATTATTATTATTATTATTAGTCACAGTATTATTATTATTATTATTAGTCACAGTATTATTATTATTATTAGTCACAGTATTGTTATCATTATTATTACTCACAGTATTATTATTATTATTAGTCACAGTATTATTATTATTATTAGTCACAGTATTATTATTATTATGTATTAATGAGTTGTTTTTCCTGGTCAGCTGATCTCGTCAGTGGTGACGCACAACTGGTGTGATATCGTCCAGAGCTGTGAGCTGGATAACTGGAAGGAGGCGCTAGCGGCTCTGCTGACCTACGCTAACCTCGAGGCGTTCGCTCCTCTCTGCGGTGAGAGCATCACGAGTCTAAACACAGTCTCTTTATTAGTCACAGTATTATTATTATTATTATTAGTCACAGTATTATTATTATTATTATTAGTCACAGTATTATTATTATTATTATTAGTCACAGTATTATTATTATTATTAGTCACAGTATTATTATTATTATTAGTCACAGTATTGTTATCATTATTATTACTCACAGTATTATTATTATTATTAGTCACAGTATTATTATTATTATTAGTCACAGTATTATTATTATTATTAGTCACAGTATTATTATTATTATTAGTCACAGTATTATTATTATTATTAGTCACAGTATTATTATTATTATTAGTCACAGTATTATTATTATTATGTATTAATGAGTTGTTTTTCCTGGTCAGCTGATCTCGTCAGTGGTGACGCACAACTGGTGTGATATCGTCCAGAGCTGTGAGCTGGATAACTGGAAGGAGGCGCTAGCGGCTCTGCTGACCTACGCTAACCTCGAGGCGTTCGCTCCTCTCTGCGGTGAGAGCATCACGAGTCTAACCACAGTCTCTTGATTAGTCTGCTGCTGCTGACAAACACACTTCTGCATCAGTATAGAGTATAAGAGCTCTGAATGCAGCTCGTCCAATCAGAGCTCAGAGTCTGGAGTGATTGACAGCTCTGTGTGTGTGTGTGTGTGTGTGTGTGTGTGTGTAGATACTCTGGGCTCCCGTCTGCAGGCTGACGGCACAGAGAAGTGCTGTCTGCAGGCCTGTCTGTGCTTCATCTGCTCGGGGAACATCAAGCGTCTGGTGGAGTGCTGGACGTCACAGAGAGACTGTTCTTCTCCGCTGGCGCTGGAGGTCACACACACGCACTCTTTCACGCTTATATTGAGTGAATGCTGTCGTGCGCTGACGTCTGTGTTCACGTGCGTCTGCAGGATCTGGTGGAGAAGGTGATGATCCTGCGCAAGTCGATCGAGCGTCTGCGTAGCGGCGAGGTTTGTGTTCAGAGCTCAGCGCTGACTGAGAAGCTCATCCAGTACTCCAGCATCCTGGCATCACAGGGCAGCTATCGTCCAGAGCTGTGAGCTGGATAACTGGAAGGAGGCGCTAGCGGCTCTGCTGACCTACGCTAACCTCGAGGCGTTCGCTCCTCTCTGCGGTGAGAGCATCACGAGTCTAACCACAGTCTCTTGATTAGTCTGCTGCTGCTGACAAACACACTTCTGCATCAGTATAGAGTATAAGAGCTCTGAATGCAGCTCGTCCAATCAGAGCTCAGAGTCTGGAGTGATTGACAGCTCTGTGTGTGTGTGTGTGTGTGTGTGTGTGTGTGTAGATACTCTGGGTGCTCGTCTGCAGGCTGAAGGCACAGAGAAGCACTGTCTGCAGGCTTGTCTGTGCTTCATCTGCTCGGGGAACATCAAGCGTCTGGTGGAGTGCTGGACGTCACAGAGAGACTGTTCTTCTCCGCTGGCGCTGGAGGTCACACACACGCACTCTTTCACGCTTATATTGAGTGAATGCTGTCGTGCGCTGACGTCTGTGTTCACGTGCGTCTGCAGGATCTGGTGGAGAAGGTGATGATCCTGCGCAAGTCGATCGAGCGTCTGCGTAGCGGCGAGGTTTGTGTTCAGAGCTCAGCGCTGACTGAGAAGCTCATCCAGTACTCCAGCATCCTGGCATCACAGGGCAGCTTGAGTTCAGCGCTCCGCTACCTGCCTGACAGCCCAGACCAGGTGCACACACTAATACACATTTACATATGTGACCCTGCAGCACAAAAGCAGTCTTAAGTCGCTGGGGTATATTTGTAGCAATAGCCAACAATACATTGTATGGGTCAAAATTATCAATTTTTCTTTTATGCCAAAAATCATTAGGATATTAAGTAAAGATCATGTTCCATGAAGATATTTTGTAAATTTCCTACCTAAAACTTAATTTTTGATTAGTAATATGCATTGCTAAGAACTTCATTTGAACAACTTTAAAGATGATTTTCTCAATATTTAGATTTTTTTGCACCCTCAGATTCCAGATTTTCAAATAGTTGTCTCTCAGCCAAATATTGTCCTATTCTAACAAACCATACATCAATGGAAATATTATTTATTCAGCTTTCGGATGATGTATAAATCTCAGTTTAAAAAAATTGACCCTTATGACTGGTTTTGTGCTCCAGGGTCACATATTAACAATGCAGATTTACATGTGAGCTTCTTATAACATGCATTTGGGAAAGCAACATGCATCATCCATCCTTAGAAACATGTAATGGGAAGAAGCACTTATAAAGCAACTGTTGTCCACAATAGAATTTGGTTTGGTTTTTTCACCAAAATAAATTAGTATTGTTATTTTTATATTCTTCTGTAAAATTATTATTATTATTATTAATTTAAATTTTATTTTTATTGTAATTAAATGCTTAGTTTTTATTTTACGGTACAATAGAATTATTGCTATTTTATTTTTTGTTATTTAATCAAATAAAGATTAATTAATTTTTAAATATTAATTTTTATTTTACAGTGCAATATTATTATTGCAATAGTAATATATTTCTTTATTGATTGGTTATAATTTAATTAAACCTAATTAAGCTATAATTTAATTATTATAACTCTATAATACAGTATAGTAGAATTATTGCTATTTACATTTTTATGATTTAATAAAATAAAAATATTTAAATGATTAAATAATGATTATTGTTATTTAGGGCTGGACAATAATTCAATATCAATATGTATCGCGATATAATTTTTTTCAATAACGGTGATATGATTTTTTTGGGAAAGAAATTAATACTTTTATTTAGCAAGGATGCTTAAAATTGATCAAAAGTGATGATAAAGGCGTTTATAATGTTACAAAAGATTTCTATTTCAGATAAATAGTGTTCATATCGATATCGGAATTATATCGTATCGACCGAAATTAAGAAATATATCGTGATATCAATTTTGGCCATATCGTCCAGCCCTATTGTTATTATTATTATTATTATTACAATGCAATATTGCTATAATAATTTATTTGTTTGTTAATTTAATAAAATAAAATAATATTATTTTTACAGTGTAATATTATTATTGCTATAGTAATATTTCTTTATTGATTTAATTTTTATAATTTATAATCTAATAAGATGAAATGTGTAAATTTATAATAATAATATAATTTGTAAATATTTACATGACAGTAGTATTATTGCTGTTTTAAAATGTATAATTTAATAAAATAACAATATTTACAGTGATGTGGGTGGTAAGTGTGTTTGTGTGGTCTAGGCTGGTGTTCGGATGTTAAGAGAGCGGCTGTCGCATGCGAAGGGTGAGATCCTGCAGAGACCACAGCCGTCTGCGCCAGCAGGAGGCGCTAAAGCACCGGCAAACACACACACTCCTGCAGCACACACACAGGTGAGACACAGCTCACACACACACACACACACTCCTGCAGCACACACACAGGTGAGACGCACATGATCTGTGAGTGAGTGAGTGAGTGAGTGAGTGTGTGTGTGTGTGTGTGTGTGTGAGAGAGAGAGAGAGTGTGTGTGTGTGTACTTGTTTTTCTATTCTGGTGGGGACTTAAATCTGAATACACACAGAGTGTGAGTGTGTGAGAGTGTGAGAGTGTGTGTGTGTGTGAGAGTGTGTGTGTGAGTGTGAGTGTGTGTGTGAGTGTGTTTGTGTGTGAGAGTGTGTGAGTGTGTGAGTGTGTGAGTGTGTGAGTGTGTGAGAGTGTGAGAGTGTGTGTGTGTGTGTGTGTGTGTGTGTGTGTGTGTGTGTGTGTGTGTGTGTGTTTAATGATGCTTGAACTCCAGTGTCGTCTGTCATCCATCCAAGTCTCCCATCCCTGTCTGTCTGTGATGATGATCAGCAGAGATTATTTGCTTTCTGATGGCCTTGATGAAATTGTGCGTCTGCTGCTGGATGTTGTGTAAGTCGAGGCTGCTGTTTGCACGGGGGCGTCTCGTCTGATTTACAGTGCGTTCTCATGCCACATCTGCATGTTTCCTAAAGTGTGTGTTGTCTTTAGGGAGTTTGTGTTGAAACAGAATAAGGTTATAGTTTGATTGCGAATGCTTAACCAGTGACATTATTCTAAAGAGAAATATGTTTGTCTTTGTAATTTCTTAACCAGTGTTATTTTAGTTTAGTTTATATACTATTATAGTATACATTAAAATTTTGGATTAGCTTTTATTTTTATATTTTCACTTTTCATTTTAACTTTATTTTAAGCTTTAGTAATTTGACGTGCTTTTGTTATTTAAGTGAGTAATATAAAAGATAAATAGAAATAATTGTAAAAAAAAAAAAATTTTAATTAAAATATTAAATACTGATTAAAGAAAAATTATAAAATAATAAACAATTATTTAAAAAAATTATTTAGCTTAATTTTTTAATATAGTTTAGTTCGTAAAATACTTTGAAATTCTTTAAAAAAAATAGTATTTAGCTTTATATTAAATATTTGTATTAATGTTTATTTCTGTTTAGTTTTAGTAATTTTTGTACATCTTAAACTTATTTTTCCAGTTCCTGAAATTATTTTCAGAGTTACTAATTTTTCAGTACTAAAATTAAACGTAAAAATTAATTACAAAATTAATATTAAATATAAAAAAAAAAAAAATCCAATTAATTTTCGGGGTTTTTTTGTTTGTTTAATACGAGTAATTTTAGTACTTCATCTTAAAAACATATTTCAGTTAGTTCCCATTTCATCTCAATTTAATTTTTTTGAATAATAGTTTTTCATCTGATATTTATGTTTTATTTTATTTCAGCTATATTTAAAATATTTAGTAGTTTTAGTTAACAGCACTGCAATAACTGGTAATAGCTCTGCCTTGAACGGCTTTTCTTGTTCATATCATATATTGGGTGTGTTGTAATGTGTGTTCAGGGGCCCTACGGATCCGCAGCTCCTCCTCAGATGCAGCAGATGATGCCCCGTCTCTTCACTCCTCAGCCGCGGCCCGATTCTGCTGCTCCTGCTGGAGCTCCACCGTCGAGCCTCAGACCCTGTGTCTACCCACAACACCCTGCCACAGCTCCGGGTACCTGTCAATCAAACACCATTCATAATATACACCAGTCATTCAAACACTGATGTGCACACTACTGTACTGAGGCTCCTCTGCTCACCAAAGCTGCGTTTATTTGATCCAAAATACGGTACAAAATTGTGAAATATTTTTACAATTTAAAACAGCTGTTTTTCATGTGAATGGCTGTTAAAATTTAATTTATTGCTGTGATCAAAGCTGATTTTTTTTTTTTTGAGTCGCACATCCAATCAAAATATTCAAGAGTTATATGTCACCTTATATGGATAGGAAAGAAATATAATTGTTGACTATAAGGTGTAAGTAAGATTTGTCTAGCTGTCTAGACATTGGTTTCAGTTCCTCAGCAGAAATAGCATCAGCACCGTGTGTAAAAGAGAAAGTACATGAAGTGCATCTGTTTGAGAGATAAAAGGACAGAGCGAAGCCTTGAAATAATATTAACACAGATGCAACTATAAAATGTAACGTAAATATTTTAAAAGTGTAAATGTAACCCAGAAAATTATTGTTATATATTTTTGCTGATAACTGATTGTTCTATAAATCGACTTTTGGTGCTGAATAATCAGCAAAACTGATCAATCGGTCGACCTTCAGAAATCATTATAATATGCTGCTCAAGAAACATTTCTTACCATGTTGTATATTAATGCATGTCTTAAAGTAATAATGCCCAAAGGAATAATAATAATAAGGAATGTTGTACACCGAAGATATTTTTTCAACAAACAGTTCTGTTGTGCTGCATCTTATTCGACAAAAAATAAAAATGCAATGTTTTGTTGTAAATTAATCAAAACAAATAATCCATAATGTTTTGTCTGTCACGTACACAACCATAGACAGTATCACATTCAGTGTAATGCTTTTTATGACCGCTCTGTTACATAAAAATAAACACCGGTAAAAAATGTAAAGGTTAAAGAACAAAGCTAGAATATAGGAATAAACGAATTTACAATATAATACAAAATTTAAATTGTGCAAATAAATAGCAGTGTAAATAAATATACAATACAGTGCAGCTGTAGCAGATGTAATTGTTATATTCTCATTATTTAATATTTTCAAGATTAAATTGTTAACATTTGATTAATTAATTTTATTAGACACCATTTTAATGATACATTTGTATTAAATCATAAAATGCAGAATCTAGAAAAAATAAAACGGAAAACAGAATTTATGGAAATTAAAAAGTAAATGTTATGTTTACATTCGTTCTCAAAATGTAACAAAACATGTAGAAGCATTTCCTTCCCCGTTAATGAATATCATGATAAATATTGATATCATATGATAGTCCAACCAAAATTTATTCAGACACCTTCAACATTTCTCACATTATCAGTTTATTTGCTATAGTTTAGAAAATGGTAATAAAATATGACAAGAACTTGTTTGAGAACAAATTCATCTTGATAATGTCAGATAAATTAGAGAAAAAAACACGCAAGCAAAACATGCTCAGGTCAAAGTGTCTGAATAATTTTCGGTCCCAAATTTTACTGGTAGTCCACTGTATGAAGAATTTTTGGGTATAATATGTTACAGTTTATTTTATTTTGCTATCCTCACATAAATGAACTATAGTGTCCTGCACCCACTAGTAAAAACATATCAGAAATTATATCTGCTGTCTGAATAATTTTTGGTTTGACTGTATGTAAAAAAAAAAAAAAAGATTGTGCTTGTAATATTTTTGGCCATATCACCCAGCCCTACCCCATCTTTTGAACAGTAGTGTATTATCAGCAAGCAAATGTATTTTATAAAGCTGTCTGCCTGTGATGTTTGGTTCCTGCAGGTTTTGCTCCGTCTCAGCCGTTTGCTCAGTCTGGTTCTTTCGGAGCTCCGGTGGGTTTCATGTCCGGCCCCTCGATGTCGGGGCCCTCAGTGCCACCCTCCTCGCCCCCGGGCCCCATGATGCTCGCTCCGCCCGGCCCAGGGTTCCTCTCACCCACGTCTCTGCCCTTGTTTCCAGCGGCTCCTCCCGGCGGGGCCTATCTTCCTCTCAGAGCCGGGTATCCTCAGGGCGGCCCCGGAGCCCCAGGGGTCAAGATCTTCAGCGGCGCCGGTGTCCCGCCTCCATTAGTCGACTAATCGCACGTTTATTAATAAACCATTTAAATCATCATAATGCGCCTTTAATTGCCTACACAGCCTTATAAGCGCTCAAGCACACGCATAAAGCTTGCCGCAGCGCACCGGCAGAAGTAATGATTATGAATGTGTCAGGGAAAAACAGTAAGAAGGCTGCATTAACATTTTAATAATATATTGATAAACAAGTGCTTTCTTTGTTTTCGACTTTAGAGATGAATTCGGCGACACTGACTCGTCGTCTCCGCAGTAGTGACGCACGCGCCTGTTTCATACGGATTACATAATCTGAGAATATTTGGTTTCCATTTGATTTGGTTCATCTGAAAGTAGACATTTCGCTCTCTATAGATAAGTTTTCATTTGCTTTTGGAGCATTTGGATGTCCTGCCTGATGTTCTGTATTATTACCACAGACCAGTCGTTAACAATCTGTGTGACTTCGCCAATGTGGATTTTTATTTATTTTTCTGCAAATAAGCGACTAATAAAATTTTGGTCGACCAGGCCTCTTCTCATTGACTAACGGTTAGTAGACTATTAGGGGGCAGCCTTAGTGTTTATACTGTTCAATGCAGAAATATCGTGTGTGTGTCTGTGTGTGTGTGTGTGTGTGTGGGTGTGTGTTTAAGAGGGACAGCAACAGTCCAAACTCAGCTCTTCTAATATTTAATGCTGACTGATTACGAGTCATTTGCATATTCGCACATTGATCATGTTGTGATTCCTATGTGATCTCTCTGAGCTTCATTGTTAATGTTTGTGTGATCGCTCAATGCTGATTAAAACTATGCTGTGTGAGTTTTGCATTATATAAACAGACTAAGAAATGTCTACACTAATGTTTCAAAGTTTGGGGTCGATAAGATTTGAAAAAAATCCTCTTCGGGTCATCAAGGCTGCATTTATTTGCTCAAAAATACAGCAAAGTAAAAATGATTGAAGATTTTTATATAATATAATATATAATATAATATTTATATTGTTTTGTATAAAATATTTTTTATAAAAAAATATATATAAAAAAAAGTAAATATTTTAAATCATAAATATTCAAAAATATTTATAAATAAATATTTTATTAAAAAAAAAAAGTGAAATATTATTACAATTTCAAATAGCCTTTTTCTATGTGAATATCTGTTAAACTGTAATTTATTTCTGTGATGCGCAGCTGTATTTTCAGCATCATTACTCAGTCTTCAGTGTCACATGATCTTCAGAAATCATTCTAATATGTTGATTTGCTGCTCAAGAAACATTTCTGATTATTATCAATGTTGAAAACAGTCGTGCTGCACAATATTTTTGTGGATTCACAGATGAATAGGAAGTTCAAAAGAACAGCATTTATTTGAAATAGAAATCTTTTGTATTATAAATCTTGCTGAATCTGACAGACCCCTAAACTTTTGAATGCTAGTGTAAGTCAGACTGAAAGAGAAGCTACAGAGACACTTAAATCACCCTCACAAACGTCTGTAAAGATGCAGTGACATTCAGACATTTCTAACTGTGACTTGAGTGTCCAGATATGTTTATCTGCTGCTGTATTGATGCATGCATTTATATTTAAATGCAGATATATGTTTTGGTGACTGATCCGCTGTGATTGTGTGAATATTGTCTCTTCAGTTCAGGACGGGTGGAACGACCCTCCAGCTGTACGCGCAGGACAACGCAAGAAAAAGGTATTTAGAATTTGCATAATGATGTTACTTATAATAATGCATTTAACGGGAAACAATATCCACTGACATGATGCTGGAGCTGCTTCTCAATCTGGCCTCGTTCTGCATGTTTCTATTAAATAAACATTCACATTTGTGCATTTGGTAGATGCTTTAATCTAAAGCAACTCACACTCCATTTAAGATGTTCATATGAGTTCATGCATTCCCTGGGAATCGAACCCATGACTTAGGTGTTGCAAGCACCATGATCTACTGTCTAAGCTTCAATTAGAAATATGAGTGCTACTTTATTTAATCTATCTGCAATAAAATTATTTTATTTACAAATATTGCATGCAGTTGCATTTATCATATTAAATGTCATATCAAATACAATAGATAAATATTTACAAATATTGCATGCATTTGCATGAAATATGAATTTTCATTGTTGTATTAAAATGACTGCTGTTTGTTATATCAAATTCAGTGATTGCATAAAAACCTTGAATTAAAATATGTTCTCAAAAATATAAAACAATAAATGATTCCAGTATTTTTTTTTATAAATATTGCATGCATTTGCATGTTTTTTTTTATTATGTGTTAAAATAACTGGTGTTTCTTATTACATTAAGGGTTTTTATACAATCATAGGATTTCATGACTTTTAATGCTAAAATCTGTTCTCAAAAATATAAAACAATAAATGTTTAACATATATTTCATGCATTTGCATGCATGAATTTTCATTGTTATATTTTAAAATAACTGCTATTTGTTATATTCTATGATTGCAGAAAGATCCTAAATGAAATGACTTTAAAGGTTAAAATATTTCCTCAAAAAATAAAACATGCAAACAGTGCACAATGTACTATTTATGAAAATGGACAGGTTATATATTGCATCATTTGTTCAGCTCTCAGGTGGAAACATGGTCTGACTGTATGCTCAGTGTCTGCTCAGAGTGTCATTGGACTGAACACTGTGTGCGTGTGTGTGCGTGTCTGTGTGCGTGCGTGTGCGTGTCTGTGTGTGTGTGCGTGTCTGTGCGTGTGTGTGTGCGCGTGTCTCTGCGCGTGTCTGTGTGCGCATGTCTGTGTGCGCGTGTCTGTGTGCGCACGTC